AGAGAGAGAGAGGAAGAAAGAAAGGGAGAGAGAGCACAAACCCCTAAAAGGGATTTCCACTTCTTCACTTCTTTGACAGGGATAGCATTTCAGGGAAACCACATTGTAACCACAGCTCAGTTCAACTTTCCTGTACGTCACAAGTTGAGAGCACACACTGTTAAAAGTTTTCTGAATTAGTATACAGTTAAAGAAACAACTGATCAGTCATTCTGAATGTATGTGAAGACCGTCATGTAAGGCAAGAGATCTCCACAGAATGACACTGGACAGGTAAGTTCTTGTATAAATTGACTTCAAGAGGTATTTTCTGATGTATATCAAACTTCTTTTTTAGTGTCATGAATGAATGAGTGACAGGCAATTACGCTTTAACAGATTGAGACGATAAAGTGAGTTACGTTTGGTAATTGTTTTTGATGATGAATGGTTGTAAACTGACAGTGATGCTCATGATGACCGCTAATGATGAAGAAACCGCAAGAAGAAACTCTACTATATCTGATTATATTCTGTCATGGTGGAAACATTTCAGCCAAATCTTAATAACAGACCATTTAGAAGCAAACCGTGTGGGGGAGTGAGGCAAGAGAGAGAGAGAGAAACTTTTAATGGGGTGTTTAAAAGACCATTAAAATATTAACATACAATATTAACAAAATTAACATACTCTTTTGCGTAAGGACTCTACAGCAAAACTAGTGGTTTTGTGAGGCTGTGCTTTGAGCTAAATTTGAATGTCAACATGCTAAATGCTAACATGCTGATGTTACCAACCAATGTATTGGAAAAATTTAAATTTTGACCTGATGCTGGCACTAGAGGAAAAGCCCACACACTGCTGCTGCTGTTTCAGGTCATGGTGCTTACTCCCACATGCTACATGCTGCTGCTGCAAGTCATGTTCATTTCTCATTTCTCATCACCCTACGTTCTTTCAGTTGAAGCTTTATGTTTCATTTGAATATGTCTGCTGGGTTTCGGGTTTTAATGTGCTCCTCTCAGCATCTCACACAATCTTTGGGTTCCAATGTAACAATTCAAAACTAGCAGTGCTAGTGCCATGTGCATTGCTTTTTGATGAATTAGTTAAATGAGACCAGTTTCCACCCACAGGCATCCTGTCTTACCTTTGCTCTTTAGAACAGGTGGGATGGAGTGACAATGTAAGGGAATATGAATATCACCCCTGCACTGTTGTTTACATGTCAAAAAATAGTAAAATGTATGTCAACAGCAAAGCGGGCCTGTGTTTGTGGCAGCATGTTGCTTCAGGTACTGGTTCGACATGAAATATAATCCAATAAGTCCAGTTTGATAAATAGATCTATGAGTTTAAAGGCTTATCAGATGCCAAAACACTGCACAGGGGTTTACATACTCTGAAAGAGGATTGTATTCTCACAGCTGCAATTATTTTTATCACTTTACAAAGTGCATTTGCATGTATTCAATTGGCCACCACAGCAGCTTTCCAGATGACATTTTGTTGCGTTTCGGCAAAAGTTGGCTCAGTGAGGTTTGGCTGCATCTTGGCAGTCCTGACTCCGCCAGCTCCCGGCTAATCCAAAAATGTAGAGCGTTGGTGGAACTGAGGTGGGCCGAATGAGACCTTATCATTTAGCCAGCTGCTTGTGACGCATCCACCTGTCACTCTAAGTGACCATGCCCTAATTATGCATAACTCTAAGCCTTAATATACCCTTTAAAATGGTGAGGTAAATATTCAACCCCCTACAGTTGTCAAGAACAGAGTATTTAGCTATAGAGACCAAAACTGCATTTTGTACTAGGCATGTAAACATGTGTATGTATTTGGGCCCTTATGGAGATTGACTCACTTCTGGTGCCAGCCTCAAGTAGCCATTCAAGGAATTGCAGTTTTTGGTACATTGGCCATGTTGGCTTCATTTGCCAGCCACAGAGGTCGCCGCTTTGATGCAAAGCAATGCCCTAAGCCCCCTGTCATTTGACACTGTGGCATCCAAACTTGGTATTGTTGTCATTGAGTCTTTTGAAGTTGTAGAAATGATTAACAGTGAAAGGGATAACCAATGGGATGCCCTGTGGATGAAAATCTCTGTGCTTCTGAACAATGTGCAGCTTGTCATGCTGCCTTATATCATGCTATGACATTAACCAATATTAGCAGGTAGCAGACTGGTTAACATATAGGTAGGAGTAGGCTTTGGGTTTTTTTTAGAGGTTAGAGCAGCCCCTTGATTCCCTTCATGAAGTTTGCGTAACAAACTTCAACTAACTTCACAATGAGCCTACATTTCCCAAATCATTGTTCTACATTTATTTTTCATCCTGTTTTTGACAGTTTTTAAATGTCAGTGTAGTTCACATGCAAAAGCAGCAACTGTTCAATATGTATCAACTGACTGTTGGAAAAAAGAGAAATAACACATCAAATTTGAGATATGGCTGCAGGGAAGTAAATTGGTAAACAATTAACTTATACAGGGGTTAAAAACTGTAGCATCAGCTGTGAAGTGGCCAGTATCCAACTGTGTTAGGACCCTGCTGTCGATTAGAGGTTTTTTTTCTATTTAAATCAGCTACTACGGAAACAGGTGCATAACAAGTATTGCCATTAGAATATGGACCTATTTATTAGTTGAAGGAAAAAACAAGAGGAAACTGTTCACCACAAAAACAGAGGTGCAAATGACTGCATTTAGAGTTTTTCTGCAATGGCCTAAGCCCCCTGTCATGTGACACTGTGGCATCCAAACTTGGTATTGTTGTCATTGAGCCTTTTGAAGTTGAGAAATGATTAACAATTAACAATCTCATGTCATGCTGTCTTTTATCATGCTATGACATTAACCAATATTAGGAGGTAGCAGACTGGTTAACATATAGGTAGGGGTAGGTTTTGGGTTTTTTTAGAGGTTAGAGCAGCCCCTCAACATTTCAACTCAAAATGTGCATTTCCCTGAGGGCCAGTAATGGACTCTCTTGTGTACAATAACCATCAACTGATTCCCCTCATGAAGTTAGTGTAAGAAACTTCGACTAACTTCATGAGGAGCCTACATTTCCCAAATCATTGTTCTACTTGTTCTTAAACACATTTCACAAATACAAGATTTGAATGAGTTGAAATGTTTGTATGTTGTGTGAAACTAGCCACCTAGTCGGTCAGCATTAATGCATTTAAATGCTAGCAGGACTGGGACTAGCTTGTTTGCTGCCTGTTAATACGGCAGTTAGAAGCTGTGTCTTTATTCTTTGGATCAGTATAAGTATCAGTATCAGTAAGATAAGAAAATAAGTGCATACTTGGAAACAACAGTAGCTTTCTGGGAAGAGAAGGGGGTTAGGAAGTGGTTTTTGTGTGTGTTTTGTGTCTGTGTTTGTGGTTATTTATGTGCTTATGAGAAAACAACTGAAAGATAGAGGAAAGAGAATGTCAGCTCTTTTCAATTGGAGAAGTTTAGGGGAAGTCCAAATGTCAGAACATGACATATATATAAATGAAACATTTCTCTATGAAAGAGGTTAGAAAGTGACTGTCAAGTAGATAGTGGCTGACAAAGTCAGACTTGAAAGAGTTCTTGATTACTGAGTGTGATATAAAGTACAGTTTCCCTAGCAAGGCCTTTCCCATTATCAGCTGCTGATCATGAGATGTAGCCAACTGAACAGAATCACTTAAATTTCCAATGTTCACTTGGGAAATGATGGATAAGTACAGACCTTCAGTTGGGGAAGTTGGTGGACTGTACAGAATTACTTTGAATCATTTCATTAATCTCACGACATCAGGCTTGATTTGACAAACAGGGAGCTGACACTTTAAAATGGCTTTAAAGGGGCACTCTGGCAATTAGGTATTACACTTTCATAAAGTTGGGGGACTTGTGAGAGACCTAAGAGAAAAGAATGGTAAAATTTTAATTTTAAGTACAGTTCAAGCTGCAAAAAAAAAAAAAAAAACACAATTCCCATAAGTTATTATGTTAAACAATTTGTATATCTAAATTAACACTGTAAGGTTTCTGGCATTGTTTCCGGACACTGTGGAAGCAAGTATTCCTCATATAGCAGTTTCGACTCCCCTGTCCTCGCATCTCTTCCACACCTCTTTCTCTCTCTCTCTCTCGCTCTCTCTCGCTCTCTCTCTCTCACATCCTCGCTAGGAGGAGCATAGATACGAAGAAAGGAAGCAAGTGAGGGAAACAAGGAGACATGTTAGCATAATGAAAAGCACCCCTGGCTGTCATACGAACTGGAGGTGAATGGGGTGGAGGAGGGTTGCATCGTATCTGACAGTGACATGACAGCTGACAGGGAGAGTTACAGAGAGACAGTTTTAAAGTTTGACAGCAATGACTTGACCGACTCACAGAGGCTGTGGCAAAATCGAATTGGTTTAACTGAAAGAGTGAATGTCCTTTTTGATTATTTCGATGATTGCACGTTTCGATCTGGAATCATCATCATCTTCTGTTGCCACATTTTACCATCAGTTCTAATAAAAACAGACTGAGAATTACACAGACGATTATTCCACATCATGCCATTGCTGTGCAAAAAATACGCATGTTATGTTTCCGATCAAATGTGGACCCAGGAGCAGAACACAGATAAGGACGCAGATAAAGTCAGACAGATTTCCTAGAATGGTACTAGAGAATTGAGGTAATGTAAAGACGAGATGACGGGGCTTGTGGCAAGGAAGGAAGATCTGATGGCAGCAGAGGCTCATGACGGTGATAGAGTAGTGTGGCTGGCATGAGCATTAATGAAGGGGTTGCAGGAAAACTGGCAGGTGAGTGATGATCCTAGAGGACAAACACAAGGAAGCTAAATCATGAGAGTAATGTTTTAAAGTTTGGCCACTGAGGTAAATAACAGTGTAGAGTTGGGACTGAAGTAGTGCAAACTGAGGGAGGGCGAGGCAGGTGAGCTGACTGGAAGTAGTGATGATTATGGCAAACAGGTGTGCAGAAGAGCAGAGCCCAGAGCCTAGAAGGGAGACCACTACTACAAACACACAAACATACACAGAGACAGGCAGACAGACAGACAGACAGACAGACAGACAGGGGAGCGCTGGAAACACAGGGAAGGTGAAAATACACAGATATGGCTGTGGCCATGATAATTCATTTCTAAATCACAGAGAGGTATCAAATTAAAACTGTATAACAAGATATATCAAAAAAGATCTGTTCAACAGTTTAACCACTGTTGTTGTATCGGTCCATAAGGTATGTTAAACTGTGGTTAACCATGGCAACAATACTTAAGCTTGATGCTTTCTTCTCACTATACCTTACCTAGCTTTCAATCATGGCACTGCAGGAAAATAGGGTCAAAAATTAATACATATCATGAAACTTCCCCATTTGATTACTTACATTTTCTGAAATGTTATTATGTAATGTTAAATATGCAAATGAGACATTATCTCACTGTAATGTAAATAGACAAAGTGTAGTAAAATA